AAGTTGTTAACTAAAGCTTGGCTGTGTGGTTCTGGTACAGTGCCTGCTTCCCTATCAGCAATTAAATAATTTAGCTCCTCATTAATATCTGCAAGCAAAAGAGGATCTTCTTCACCCATATTTTTTGCCCTTTTATATAGAACTGCAGTTGCCGAAATAATGTGCATTGCGGTCTCCGGTTTTACTCTCAAGCAAAAAAATCAAGAAACTATACTAAACGGTCCCTAATCGGGTGTTAATCAGCCAAAAAGTGCCGGTTAATATAATCGTTGTTTAGAATACACAAACCAGTGGTTAAGCGACGGTACAACACATTTTTCAAACTAAACGACGATTAAATTTTTAATCACTGTTTAGTGAAACGGTGCAACCGGGCATAAGCGTTGATGTGTTCGGCATTGAGCTATTTTCAAGTACAATGCGCTTATTAAAACATTGTCCGGAACCGTGGATTGTGTGACGAGCAGCGACTATTTTAAGCCCMATTTAAATTGATTAATTAGAATTTCATTCCTCGTCCACTTATTCAATTTAACAGCCAGCAGCGGCTGGCCTGGTCGGAAATCGTACCCTACTTTAKAGCTTTGCGCTGTCATGCATTTCCCATTCACTTACGTAAWATATTGGTCGATTTTCCTCTTCGATTTCTTGCAATAAGCGGTAAAATGGCAGGCAGCCGAAATGGAAACAACCTCGCCCGTGGCCAAGGAAAATGAACATCGCACAAGCACTGTTGAATGGAATGCGCACAGTTAATTGCCAACAATGAATAATAAATTTTCAGAACGTGACAAAACCGCGGAAGTGGGCGTGCAATTAGCCTAATCATCATTTTCCGGCAATGTTTCAACATCAGCGCTAAAGCTATAGAAGAAATGGAGGAAGAAGGAGTAAACAAACGGTTCTTTCGGTACCTTTAGGCTTTTGGCCTCGTTGTCCTTAGATAGGTCGATAGTGGAGAAGGGCCGTTTCGAAAGGAACTGTGAGGCGATGCGTCTTCGAGAGGCCCCAAGAGTATGGAAGCGCTTGAAGGGAGTTAGAGCTAGAGGCCGGAGACCCACCACCACGCTGGTACTCTGTCGCCCATCTCTACAGAATACCACCAACATGCACCCAGTTAGTTTTTACGGTTCAAATCGGTATTATTTGGTGTTTCAAGTACGCGCAAAAGTGTCGCATTTATCGATTCTGGAGAACACGGTTTTCCTATCATTTTCATTCGCAGTCATTCGCAGTTCGCGTATTTTAAACAGCTACTTCAAGTTCCCGTTGATGATGGCGCAATCGGAAGCTTTCAGGGCACAGTTTGTTTGTCAACCAAGTTTTTCTTTGAAAACCACCGAAAAATTTCGAAAAACCTTTTGTTATCAATGAAGCAAATTCTTCACTTAGTGCAAATATAGACTTTCAGTTTGCGAAAAAACCCGAATTAAAAAAAAATGTCC